TCATTTGTCTGTGATTGGCTCAACTCTGCCAGCTAAAGATTTTAGACTGATTTATTGAGGTACATTTTCACTGAGCAAAATATCTCACCATAAAAATACTTTATTTCAGAAAACCATCTGATAAAAATAAAGTAGGCTACTCTGAGTTTCGGTCTGTGGTTCCAATCAAGCAGCAACCACAGCAAAATGCTGAGGCCAGTGCAGAGATACTTAAAGACATGTATTTCCTTAAAAGCTACCAATATATGCCAGTAAGTAGCTTATAAAAATCATCTGCTTTCCTGTAACAGTTTCTTTACAAACTATTTTCAGAGGAAGCACTTTCTAGAAACAAGGTTCTTGTGTATGTAAATTATAAGTATGTGAGCTATTTGGAGCACCACTAATAAACCTTGTTTATCCTTATGCACATTTTTTTGCATAGGTTCACTCCAGTGGACCGGTTTTACCTCATTTAAACCATCAGCTTTTAGATTTACAGTTATTGCTTCAGTTCATTGAAATTTGTGGGTATTTGTTTATGTGCAGCTCTCATAAGGTCCTGCCACAGGATTTCAGCCAGGCTGAGGTCTGGACCTTGACTGGGATCATAGTCCTTTCTCAAACTTTAGCTGTCAGACAGATGAACTCACATTTGACTCTTGAATAGTATAAAGAGGTGTTCATGATGAACGCAGTGACTCAAAGTGCCCTGGTCCTGTGGCTGCAAAATAAGCCAAATCTTCATCTTTTTATCACAGTGTTTGAAAGTTGCTATGAGGTGTTCAGGGTTTAGTTTTCTCCAAATGTATTTCTTATGGCCAGAGATTTCCACATTGGTCCAGTAAGTCCAAAGAACGTTGTTCTAGACGTTTTGTGGTTTGTTCAGATGTAACTTTAGAGAGAAGAGGCTTTTTTCATGGCAACAGCTTTAAATAAGGCATACAGACTCTTTCTCTAGTTTCACTGTTATGAATTTAACCTTTTAAATGCTAACTGAGGCCTGTAGAGCCTGAGATACAACTCGCTGGATTTTAGTACTTTATCAAAGTGTTGGACAATCTGACCTTGGGATAAATTTGATGGGACATACACTCCTGAACGCTTGAAAACAGGAAAATGTCTGAACATCTCCTTTTATAGAGGTACAGTTAATCAAGCCTATTTGAACAGAAGCACCTGGCTGCTAGTTACCCTTTTATTTCCAATGGAAACTGTAAAGCACTGGTAGGCAACTCCAGGCCTCGAGTGCCGGTGTCCTGCAGGTTTTAGATCTCACCCTGGGTCAACACACCTTCATCAAATGATTAGTTCATTACCAGGCCTCTGGAGAACTTCAAGACATGTTGAGGAGGTAATTTAGCCATTTGAATCAGCTGTGTTGGATCAAGGACACATCTAAAACCTGCAGGACGGAGGCCTTGAGCTCTGGAGTTGCCTATCAGTGCTGTAAAAGGTCTTACAGGACGGGATAGAATTAATTTCACGTGTATTGTATTTGTGATAACATAATGCATTTTTTGTTAAGGCTTTCTTCTTTAAAAATTTAGAGTGGCCCTACAACCAGTAGGATGTAAGAGTGGAAGGAACAGATTAGCAACTATCAAGGTAAGAGTAAGGGAGGTGTCTGCCACTAAATAAATCTTTATGTCCTCTTGAATTAAAGAATAAAAATATGAAATGTGACTGGGTAATCTTTGGAGGGTGTTAATATATCTGGTTAACCTGCCCGAGTAAAGTCTGTATGGGAAACACTGGTATAAAATGACATGCATTGTGTTGCATACGCATTCAAATGCTGAGTAAGCCACTTCTTTAAAAGTTAACGTACATTTGCTTGGAAGTGCAGTAAATGCATGATTATACTATATTAAATTAAAATGTCTGAATATAGATTAATATGCCACTGATTTGATTTCCTGTTTGAACACCAGAGACAGAACGCTGTTGCTTAATTTAGAGGAAAAATGCTCGGTTCTTTGTGTTTGTTTGTGATAAAGCAAGCAGCCAACATATATATACACACACACACACACACACACACACACACACACACACACACACACACACACACACACACACACACACACACACACACACAGCTATATCCTCACAGAGAAATGGCAGTCTTGCCAAGTGGCCAACGGGGAGAGATCACTGGCTCACTCCTCACATGGGGCCGGCCCTCTTAGAGAGTAATGAGGCCAAATGGAAATGCGTTTAAAGCAGCTCAGATCATGAGATTAGATAGAGCATGGAGGTAAGAGGAAGCAGAAGCAAATGTGTCTCTTTAGCTGCATCCATATGCATTTAGACTTATTTCAAAAATGTTTCCTCTATTAGTGTCCACTCTTCTGCCAGAGCAAAAGAAACACTGGAGATTCTTTTCTTTGGTTTTTGAAAAAGAAAACAATGCATTACACACTTTCACGAGCCTCAGATGTTTTGTTATTGTGTTATTCTGCTGGATTCTAGCAGGTTAATTATTATTAGCTGATTCTGGAATTGCAGTATTGTCCTGCAGATGTTAGACATGGGTGGTCGGCTGGGATTATACTTGTTGGGAATTGTTCTGCTTTCATACTCAAATGTATTAAAGACACTGAGGCATGGTCATGTCTATGCAGCTCAAAGATGCCCCTAAAATTCTGTCTCCCTGCATTAATGGCATCTTTTCCCCAAAAACTAGTCAATTATCTTTAGAGGACTGCATTATGGATTTGTTTGTTGAGATGAGGAAAGTCTGTTTGATGCATGACTTCACACTTGTTCTGCCAAAAAATAAATAAATAAAAATTAAAAAGTCAGACTTAACTGAATGCCACTCATTGAGACACATATTGCCAGATGAACAGCTGATGGAAATTTATCAAACATGTGAAAGCCATAATGGCATAACACAGCACTGGTGTTGCAAATAAAGCAAGATGAGAAAATTCTGGAAGAAAGTAACTGATTGTGGGAATTCAAGTTTATGTATTTTACCACTATTACATAAGAGCATTCGTGTCTGCCGCTGTCCGAGTTTCAGCAGATGTGGAAAAAACTTTAATTTATGGTAGATGAAAGTAAAATTATTTTATGAATTAAATATTCTGTGATAATAGGCTACACAACCTTTTGCACTTACTTTAATTGCAGTAGCACGTGATGCTTTCTTTTTAAATAATGGTCCAAAAACCTAAATGATTCAGTCTACTGCCATGCCTCTCTCATAAGCAGTAGACTGCTTGAATCAGACTGCGAAATATCTCATCAGGATCTCTCATTTTGGCCAGAAAAATATGTTAAATAATTGCAAATGTTTTGGGAGTTTTTTTGTACTGTTTTGAGTGCCCAAAAGTTAAATAAAAAGGAGTAAAAAAGAGAAGTGGATACTGAAAAAGGCAGTGCAGACACAGTAATGGAAGAGCAAACAGATGTAGGGATGATAGGATGGTTGAAACCCAAGAATGGCAATCCATCACTGTGAGAGCAGGAGAGGTGATTAGCAAGAATACAAAATACACTTCCTGTCCTCCGTGCCAGGAGACACCTTTGAGCAAACAGCAAACTGTGGCAGCCCAACCCTCTGGCTTTTCTATATAGCCCCCCCCGCTGTGCCCTGCTTCCAGAAATCCAGCCATAAAGCAGTAAAGCAGCAGATAAGGAGGGCCAGGTTGTTTGGATGAGGATGCATTTTCAAATTAGTCTGAGGAGAGAGAAGAGGACCTGGTGACTAATCTCATCACAGAGCAGTGGCCGTGGCTCGCTTATACTCTGCTCGCCTATCACACCATCTAATTGTTAAAAAAGAAGAGGCCTGCCAACTATTTCCATGACCTCATATTATTTACTCTTTCTGGTCGTGCCTACTATTGCCCCCCTCTAATATGACATACTTACAGCAAGTAAAATCAGAAGGCTTGAAACTATAGAGTTTGAATGTAGAGTTACTGTAGGACATTTTCAACAAATTCGACAAGCAGTTGAACGACTCACGATTTTCAGAATAGATTTCTTTTCTCTGTTGCATGATATTGTTAGGTTGTAGACAAAGAAACAATTAAAAACAAGAGTTTATTTCAGAACTAAAACTTTGTCCAAAGCTTCTATTTTATGATTAAATTCCACCATAGACTGATGTTTATTGCTGCGATGAAGACTGATGGAAATCTTAGT